ACTAGAACACATCAGCATCCCATAGTCGGCGTTTTTTAAATAACTTCTGACGAAAAAGTGCAGGCTGCAGAATTTGTGGCCGTTAACCATGCGCATGAACTTCGAAATTAATGGCTATATGACAGTCGCAAAGTAAGATGTAAACTATTCGGCTGTACATGCTCACAGACCATAAAGAGTTTATTCTTGCGGTTGATTGTGAGCTGATGCTCACGCAACCTTCTGCCAAGGCGTTTCCCAGTTTCACGAACATACTTTGGACCACAGTTTTGGCATGGTATGCTGTAGACCACTGCTCATTGTTTTGTCAATGGTAGTGGGTCTTTGGGCCTCATGCTCTACTGTCTGATAGTTGACTCTGGCCTATGAGCCACACCGATCCCGAATGGTTTCAGGATTCTTGCAGTCGCCTTTGATACTTTCCTTACGTAGGAAATGGCGAGCCAGGACTTAGGATTTTCTTCTTTCGGCCGCTTAAGGCGAGGCTTCTTAAGACACTTGCGTATGAGGGACTTTGGATAACCGTTGAAATAGGGTATGTAACATTGCTTACGTTAATTTGGATTAAACGTATTCTCTTCACAGTCCAAAATAATATTTTTCTTCTCTTCTTAAAAACACGAATTATCTACAGTAGCATGGGATACATCATCCTTATAGTTTCCCCTCTAGAATTATAATCACCACAATAAGAGCGCAGTCGGCTATCGTCATATCGCCTATTGGAGCTGCCTGAAGATTGTCAGGGAAAATGGAATCCTTGGGAAGAGGAGGGTTATTTGCGGTCTTTCCTTAAAATGGGCGAGTTTATATAGTAGCTAAAGAAATTGAATTACCTCGTATACAAATCAGATTAGATAGCGCTCGCTGTGTGCCCATGGTGCGACGCGGGCTCCTGTCTCTCTACGTCTCTCCTTTGAGGGTCCCACTGTATGTCATCGTTTGCCAATACAAGCGACCATGCGAGGCCCAAGAAGTAATTGAAGAGAAGACGATCGGGTTGCCTTTTTCTCATTGTCATCCTCTATGACATAGGAGCGCGAGTCCGTGAATACTACTAGCAGGTCAATATGTTTGGCTTGGCCTGGAATCCTTAAGGATGCTGTGAGTAAACACAGTGGACAAAATACAAATTAGGTCCATGTGAGAGCCCCGGTTTCATCTTTGTTTACGGCCACGGTGTGCGCGACCAATTATTTATACTCTGAGCCGTACATACGAATACAGTGGAGCCTAGGGTGACCAGTAGCTCCATCTACGAACATTTCAGGTAACGAGCGGGCCACTCGCAGGAAACATTTGCTTCGATTGACGAGCTTCCGTTCAGTTAACAAGTTGCCAGTGCGTGGGGGGCCGGCGTTGAGTCTTGCTCCCAGGGCATGGGTCCTCGGTAGGCTGCAGCCAATCAGTGAACTGCTGCAGTTTGATTGGCTACAGGACGAGCGTTTCAGATGACGAGCTCAGTGCTGGAATGCATTAAACCGATTAACCGAGGTTCCACAAGAGGTCTTCGTAAACTTACCGAATTTCAGAGTTTCATCAAAATTCAAAAGAGCACCGCGACAGTCAAACTGACGAAGCAATAGCCAATACAAACGAAGATGTGGGTCCCCAAGAAGTAAACGGCGAATAGCTTTTCGCCAGACGTTTCGAAATCTGTCGCAGATTAATCGTCAGCGACAATAGTAGAAACCGGTAATTCATACACAGAGCGTTGCGGTATTTATAGGATACAGTCACTGTCCCAAGCAAGTTTAGTCACAGTGCACTGACTGTGGCCCTCGTGCCGACTAAAAGGCTTGAGACGCAATGACCTGTAGCGTGGTGTTCGGTTTCAGTGACTTCCTGGGTACTGTTTTCGTCAGTTCCTGCAGTGGAAAACAAACGCCACCCCTCCAGTTTAAGCGCTGTGTTGGAAGGCGGTGAAACATTACTAGCTACCCAGCTACACTCATCATGTCCCATAACAGTACTGTGATTTTTTTGATTTTACCGATTTGCCAGATAGCAGCGCATCTACGTCTAGGTGTTAGTTTTGTATGCTTCCTGATTCCCTATAGGTTAACTAGGCTCCACTAGTGGTTAAGTGTAACTTCATCAACGAGTGTCAGTA